CTTCAGAGCTTCGCAGGCAGCGGGGAAGGCGCAGATGATGAAGGCGATGCTTTTGAGCCACCTAGCCCAGCCGACTGAAGGCATTGATCAAGCCAGAGAGTGTCTATGCAGCGGGCTGGCACTTGCAGGTCTCAGGCCCAAAAGGTCCCCAGACCTGCGGGGCTTGAAGACTTGCAATTTTGCGCGCAAGCCCGTGCACAGCCGAGTGATTCTGCAAAGTTAGCGCAGCTGCGACAGCCAGCTGCGCAGTTGGAGTCAGAGTCAGCAATATGCCTTCTGAGCACAAACGTGCTGAAGTTGCCTTGCGCCGCGTAGCTTTGCAACTGGGGAGTGCCTGCTTTGCAAGAGCTGCTGCGCCTTGACACTTGGGCGCTGCCCAGGCTCATCCGGCACTGTGGATGGCTGCACAGCTGCGAGTGAGGAGGCGTCGCAAGAGTGAAGCGCAGCAGCAGTGATCATTCTGATAAGGCCTTGCTGGCCATGTGCACTCGCAGAGCACCCATGCCAGCTGCCGGGCCCAAGAGCAGAGTTGCTTGGAAGTTGTAGCCATAGTCTCAGCTTCTTCCTGCAGCCATGGCCCTGATGAGGAGGCTGAGACAGAAGACAGCTGCTCCAGGGCCAAGGCCCAAGGCCCAAAGCTGTCCACAGCAGCCTGCGCGCAAGCCCAAAGCCCAAAGAAGCAGGGCAAGGGCTTCAGGCGCTACTGCGCGATCAGCAGCAATCAAGGAAGGCGTGGCCCCGAAAGGACAGCTTCGCAAGGGAGCTTCTCGAGAAGCATTTCAGCAGGAGATGAAGCGACTGGCGCAAGAGTGGAAGTCACTGCCTGCCTCCAGTCGCCAGAAGTTCAAAGACATGAGCTCCCAGGAAGAGGCAAGGCAGCGTGCTGCCTTGAGCGAGCATGGGATTTTTGCCCGCCGGGCTTGGGCTGGCCCAAAGGGTGGCAGCGCAGCGCAGCCGGACCCGGAAAAGGTCAGCGCCCCACTGCTGCAGGCCATCGGGCCCTTCAAGGTCATGTCAAAGCCTGACATGTCTGTGCAGCTCGGCTGTGGATCCTATGGCAAAGTGTGTTTGTGCACTTCGGTGCATGGCGGCAAGCATGCTGTGAAGCTGTTCACATCCAAACATGGCAAAGAAGATGCAGATAGGGAGCTCCAAGTTTTCCAGCAACTCCAAAAGCTGCCAGCTGAAGATGCCAGGTGGTTCCCAGCCCTTAGAAACTTTGACACCAAGGGCGACCCCTTTCCATGGATAGCTCTGCAATTCTGCGGGGCCAGCTTGGCAGACGTCTTGCGCAGCGGGCCACTGCGTGGCTTTGCTTTGTGGTCAGCAGCTGCTCAGCTGCGAAAGGGGCTCCAGACGCTACACTCTTTGAAGATCCTGCACTTGGATGTGAAGCCCGGAAACATCTTGTACAGCGAGGGCACTGATGAGCTTAAGATCACGGACTTCGGCTTGGCAGAGCGCTGGGGAGCACTTGCAGGGGACAGCTCCACAGCGAACTTCCGGGAATACGCAACAGAGCCGTACCGCCCGCCGGAACTCTGGCATGCGTCCGACAGCCAGCTTCCCAGGTCCTTGAGTCCGGCAGTTGATCAGTGGTCGTTTGGCTGCACCGTCTTTGAGCTGTGCAACGGCTCCATGCTCATGGCTCAATTAAATCAAAGGCAAGGCTATGACCACACCGTTTCCCAGTGGTGCAAGCACTGGGGCTTCATTTCCAAGGAAGCAGTCATGTCTGGCGAGCTGCGTGGCGGCTGCAGCATGTCCCAGCGCTTGCGAGCGCGCGCTCGGCGAGGCGGAGAGTGGTGCTGGAAAGTGGTGCGACAGACTTGCTCTCCGATTCCATCCCAGCGGCAGTGGCCAGCGCTTCCGGCTTTGACTCTTTGATGATTGACTTTGTGAGGCAGCCACAGTTGTTGAATGTGCGGTGACGGACCTGACAGATTGGCCGTTGACCAGCTGGGCACCAGCGGTGAGCGGTCCCAGGTCCCAGGTCCCAAAGGGCTTTACGCCCCAGCACTAGCACTGCAGCAAGCCCGTCAAGGCTTGCTGACTGTGCTGCCCACACGTGGCAGCCACAATGCCCCAAAGGACCAAATGTGGCATTTGGGCTCTGCTGGGAAAGCACTCACACCGAAGTGCGTTGCAGACAGGGGAAAAGCTAGGCTTTGCAGTTAGGGGCAGCTAGGCCGCATTGACTAGCGTGCCCTTTCCCCCACACACACACGCACACGCGCGCACATGCACCAACAGATATGCACACAGACGCTGACACACTTGCTCTGCCAGGCCAGCGCGCCGTCGTCTACAATGACAAGCTCTGGCGAGACGCATGAAAAACGAGCGTGGCGGCTAACGATCAGCCGCTGTAGGTAAGAATTTGGCCCTGGGTCCTTAATATTTTTCGGGGACATCGAATTGCCAACCTAGGAATGCTGAGAGGCGGGCCTCAGCGGATGCAACTCAGCTAAAGTCTTATCATCGCGGCCAAACCTGCCTCCCAGCATATACGCCTTTAAGACCGCTCAGGCTTGTGTGTGGGTGCTGAAGCTTTCTGTATCCCTTCGTCAAACTGCGAGCTGATGCACGACACACGAGTCACTGGGGCACGTGTTGGGCCAGATGGCCAACGTGTTCCTGTGGGTGAAGACCTACGGAGCGGTGCTCTTCCTGAGCAGCTTGCTGTGCAGGTGCCCGTGACTGATGTGGCGCACCACACGAGCGCGCCGCGTGCTGGAGGGCGGCTACCGCATGAAGGCAGCCGTCATGACGGCTGGTCAAGAAGTACTTTGAGATTGACCCAAGCAGCTGAGTGCCCGCCCGGGTCAGCACGACGATATTTTGAAGAGTGTTTTGTTTGCCCAGCCCTGGCACAGGGGTTGGTTGGTTGGCTGGCTGGTTGGTTGGTTGGTTGGTTGGCAGGGCATCGTTTCAACATTCCCAGTACCATCGCAGCCGAAGCCAGCTTTACACCCACCAGGAAGCCCGCCATAAACCAGCTGTAAACCATCTACCAGCCCATTTTGCTCTCAACAAGCCTGGATCCCACCCCGTCCTAAACCCAGCCTGAGCCAAATCCTTGTGATGTTGCGTATGTTGAAAGCACTGCTGAGCATGTTAAAACACCCCATGTTCGTTGGTGTCTTGAAGCCTGCCCTAAACCCGCCCTTGACCCACCCTAAGCCGACCCGAACCTTACCAACCTACCCTAAACCTGCTTACCACCAGGGCCAGGCCAAAAGAAGTTGAAGTTCCGACTGACGCCTTGTTTTCATTCTGATTGGAGTATTTCGTCGAGTTGGCCGTGCCTTTCCTGCGGTTGCCTCGCGCGTTCCAAATCGCCTTGCAACCTTGCTGGATGCCCCAAGTGCAGCGCCAGCGCGCGCGAGGCTTGGGCAGCAAGCCTCTGAGGTGTTTCTGCAGCTTTGGGGGCCAGCTCCCGGTTGCCCCTTTGGGAATAGCTGAGTAACTGGCTGCCGCCGCACACGCTCACCTGGTAACGCTCAAAAAAAAATAAGAGAAATATTCCTCGGCTCAGTAAGAAGCAAGAGCGTACCGGCGCACAGACAACCAGGTGTTAGATTCACAGATCTATGGAACGAAACCGTCATTTCAGCTGGATTAGTTGCGCCCCAGAATGTGTCACCTAAATCACCGGCGAAGAACACAGACTACAAAGTTATATCGTGTCAGAGTCAGCTCGCGCGTTAGATTACAAGGAATTGTATATATGTATATAGTCATACACATAATATGATTATCGTCTGGCCAACAAGTGTCATGTATATGTTTCCCTCTTTTTGACCATATTTATCATTGTGTTGTTTATGTTTGTACGTCGCTTTGTTTGACACCGGCATTTCTTCAAATTTGACACACACTTTAACTTACACCGTCTACCAGCGCGCAACCGTCAGAACATGACATGTAGTCGTGGCACAGACTTCATTGATACCACAGGCGCCACGTTATGTTCTTAAACTTGGGATTTTTACGGGCGAAGAGTTTTCAGACATCTCATGTTGTTGAGCGTATTTTGCTGCTATTGCGCTGTGTTGTAAATCGCCGGACACATGCATGACATAAAAGCTTGCTGCGCAAACTTCTTTAGATTGTTTTGAATGATGTTCATGCGAGAAAGTCTTGTCATTTCAAGAGCAATCCGTATGTCTGTGGCCAATTTACAATACGTCGCCCGGCTCATTTGAACACTAACTGAAGTTTGTTGTCTTAAATGAACGGAAGCACGCGTTTCTCTCCAGCGGTAGACAAATCATGGCAGCCCTTGTACCTCAAAGGGACTTACGACATTTTACGGGTGCAGTCTTAATTTCACCACATAACACAAAAACAAAAGTGATATTAGTTTTCAACAGTTCACACACATGCACATGTATACATAATATATGCACGTGGCAATCACAGATACTTGTTCGCAAGTCTTTATGACTAACAACCGCTTTTGCCAAATACTGCTTTGGCGCTGTACGCGTTGCTCCGGCAACGGGCACCAACACCTTGTGGCCACAACTGCATTCACGCAGCGATGCTACGCCCAACGCACGCACCCGTCAAGCAAAACCGCTTTGAACACATTTTAGCAATCACACATCTTAATTGCAATCCCAAGAGCTGGCGAACGAACATCACGACACTGCCTGTCGCATGCTCTGAAGGATTGCTGTGAACCCGAATGCAGCGTTTTGAGTAAGGGTCATGGGCGCGCTGGTGAAGAAGGCGCTGCATGACTCCCAAATAGTATATCGCCTTTTTTTTAAGGCCAAACGTAACATTATGTTTTTGGTGTTGTTGCGCCGCCAAGGCTCCTTGAAGGTTCCGGTGGAACTGGGATGCTTAAGAGTTGGTTGCAACAACTCCGGCAACGCGAGTTGAACGGCTGATGTCTAGGCGAGTCCATTGATCGGATGTGTTGAACAGCAGTAATATCCCGACAATCAAAGTCTAGCAACGCTTATTTCTGGCGGGCTCGGATTCGCGAGGATGGCAACTTCGACGCCCCAACCACTGACTGCCAGCGCGGGCAGTGCAAGTGGTCAGCGAGCAGGGGCAAGGCCCCGGGGGCAAGGCCTTTGCACGAAATGGGGAGTTGGTGCAAAGAGTTCCCACTTGCTTATTCTCTTAATCATCTGGTAGCGATGTTGGATCTGAACCACATGTATTCTAAGCACCTTGGTTGGGCGAGAAGACTTGGGCCAAGCATTAGGGCTGGGAAAGGTTGCATTAGGGCTGGGGAAGATTGGGTTGGACCAGAGCTGGGCCACTGTGCTTATAAACTTGCTTATGCCACCACAGTTTCAAGAGCCTCACTTTCTTTTTCTCCGTTCCGCAGAACCCTCAAAAAACCCGCCCGGCCTCACCCACCACTCCACCCACAAAATGGGTGTCTAAACTCTTTGTTTCTTTTTCTTTTCCGGGTTTCCCTTTGATCACCCTCCCCAAATTTTGGGTCCCTGGCTCGAAAGCACCCAAAAAAACCAAAAAAGAACTCCCCAGGGCTTCGAGCGACTGACATCGGAGCTCGGAGCTCGGACAGGTCTTTGTGCTTTGGGGCCAAGCGGGGCTTCACGAGCTGGAGATCGCCAGGGGTTCCAAGGCTCCTGAGAATCTTCCTCGCCGTTGGTTTTTGTAAGGGGAAGAGTAAGGGGCTGGCCTCAAATTCGGATCCTGGGGTCTTTGCTTCTGTTTTTTTTTAGTTGCTCCTTTTGGCTTTTTGGTTCTGGTTGTTTTTAGGGGGCTGCAGAACTGAAAGTTGTTTGCTCCCATACCAGCGGTTGGGAAGATATCTAGGTCCCCCAGCTAGGTGCCCTTTCTCTCACCAACTTTTTGGGTTCCAACGACGACAGACCAAACTCGGGTACCAACTTACTCTAGCCTCTCAAATCTGGAGGACCTAGGCGTGGCTCTTCCTTTTTGAGGGACCCAATTCCCCCAACCTAGCGGCTTTCTCGGTTTTCAGCCCGGGGAACCGTTCCACCAAAGGCCAAAGCAAAGCGGCCATTTCACCCTTTGGAGTTCCCAGGTTGGCCATAGCAAAGGCGCCAAAAGGTGAAGCTTTCATTTCTGCTGGGCAACTGAGCCTAGAAACCACCAAGAAACAGGAAGCCTCAAAAAGAGACACAGCCGCATAAAGGGTTATAAGGTGTTCAAGCAGATCCACCGCTCCACAAGGTGGCAGATTCCTTTGTAAGGGTTTGTGCGCTCACGCACATTGACAGTAACTTGTTCAAGTAGAATGTAGAAACTTCAGGAAGCGCCTGTGCTTCGGCATCATAATAATGGGAGCAGCTTCAGGCATGCGGTCTTTGCGTGTTTTTGTTTCTACCAGTTTTGGGAATACGAGGGTTTCGTACGCAGGCGACACATCGATTTCCAGCCGCCAGCCTGAAAATAAATTTCTTCTGTTCTGCCGCTTGTGCAGAACTCTCCCGCCCGCGTCCTTGCGCCCTGCGCGCGCATCTGGCGCGACACTGGCTGGCAGTTGCAAGTGCTCCGAAGACTTGGCGCATGAAGCGCCTCACACGTTTGCTTGCGAGGTGTAGGCTCCAAATCGACGTCAGGAGGAGGCGAACCGTGCAACTTGGTTTACGTTGGAAACAGCAGGAGGCCGAGGCACGCGCCAGCCGTAAAACTTGGCTGGTTTTTGAGAAGAGGGAATGACCCTAATACACCATCCAACTGGTGGCTTCCTTTAAGGGAATCCCTGGGTTCAGTTCCACATACCTCTCGCACCAAGAAGCAGATCACTTTTGGCAATGCCTCAACTGCCTCGCCCAGCGTCATGCTCTGGCGAGCAGTGAACGGCAGTGCCCCAGCCCAACTCCCTGCCGCGCGCCAAAGTTGCCAAGCACCTCAGCCAGCTAGGAAAGTGAAGCGGAACCGCCAGCTCCATTCCGTAGGTCGACACACCTTCCCTCGAACATGGTTTGAATGCTTAGTGCACACCACCTTCGTGTATGTTATCATCCTTCAAGGTGGAGATTGACACCCACAAAAAATATTTCACAAGCACAATTGGGGGCATATGTCTCCTAGGTTTCCCGGTAGTGCCCTTTTACCCTTTTTTGGGGGAGGGTTCCCCTGCCAAAATAGACTGCAGAAAAAAACAAGAACGGGTACCCTTATTCTAACCTCTCAAATCTGGAGGACCTAGTCTCAGGTCGGTGAAATGCCCACCGAGCAGAACCCCCAGAAGATGAAGGGCCTCATCATGAGGTCGGACGGGATCGGTGGCTGAGAGCGTGGATTCCTGTAACGCGAAGCTTTGCGGTTCCTCAGTGGTTCAACATCCACCTTTTGGTGTTCCCATTTTGGCCCAGGGTTGGTTGACCTGCTATGTTTGTTCCTTTGGGCAAGTGAGGTTCTGAGTTATTGCAATTTGCCCAGACGGATGCAACCAATCGTTCCAACATGTCAGATGGTTGAAGAAGTGATCAATTCTACTCAGTTGATACCATCCATACTTGGGAGGTTCCTTGTGTTCCGCCAGACGATGTAGATTGGTTGCAAACACCCGACATATTTATTGTTCCAAGCCCTGCCCACCATACCATGGTCAAAAGACCTGCTTGAACAACCAGCATGGCCCATCGGAGTTAACCACCCCACAACCCTGCCTGACCAGTGGACTGTAACTAGATCCCCAAGCATTTGCACGAGCTGGTGTTCAGAACCTAGCCGACTTGAGCCGCCATCCAAACCTGGCCTGGGTATTTTGCATGTTTGATTACCCCCCAAGATCCCTTTTCAAAGCATGGTGAAACTTGTTCCAACAAGCGCTGGCAACAATTTTAGAAGGCTGATAGTGCAAGCCAATTCTTTTTATGCCCAGCTTGGCAGAAGCAGCAGCTGGAATCCTTAAACCAGCAAGCCTTCAGCCGAAAACCAGGTGGGGGCGTGGGCGCGCTCAACCTCGCACATTTCCCCAGGAGTTTTGGTGGTTTGCTAGAAAGAAGGACCCCTGGAAAGAATGAATAAGTTACCCCTAGATTGGGTGAAATGGAACCTACCACCAAACACGTAGCTAAAAAACTAGTGAACCGGGCTGGAAGGTTGGAAGCCACGAAACTCGCCATGAAAGTTTCTGTTGCCCCCAAGTGACAGGGCGAAGTCCCCTTAGGGACATTGTGAACGTACTCTCAACTAAGCAGCCTGAGTTGCAAGACTTGCTTCCAACTTCCCGGCTGTTTTCGGCAGTCTCTCCAGCGAGAGCTTGCCAGGGACTAGTCTCTTTGTAACTGTTTGGAGCAAGCCGCGGTGCAGCGATTTCCCCGAAAGGAACTTGGGAAGCGCGTCAAACTGGTCCGATCCGTGAGCCCTCAAGCGGATCTCGGTTTCTGAGAAAAGAACGATGGCTTAAGAAACACCTCCAGGGCGTCTAATGGAGGGGTCGGGTCTTCCATACAAAGGTTCAGGGGCCTTTGGGCCTAGAATTAAACGTTCTGCACTTGCGGGGATCAGCAAACCGCCGGTCCAGGTTAGAAGGCTGCAGGTGCCCAGGAGAAAAAACCGAAGGCCCCAGCGCGCCAGGGGAATTCGTGCCTCGGATGGCGACAAATGCTCCGCGAGCTTTCAAAGAGCCCCGTGGCTGCACGGAGAAATCCATCGGCTGAAGATGATTTTCTTATGTTCCCTTGTGGGTTTGAAAGGGAATCGATTTCAGAATGCAGGATGTAGGATTATTATTATTTTTAAAGGGAGTTGATTTCGCTGGATTTGTTCTTCATATTTCCCCTTTAAAGGGGATCAATTCCTGGCCCCCCCGGTCTGCCTTTTTCTTGTTTTAACGTTTTCAGCCTGTGCCAAAACTCTCCGGACCGCTGCTTCCATTTTTCTCCTGCTTGGGGGTCCCGGGGCCCCATGAAAGAGAAGCGAAGCAAGGCGGCCGGGTTTTTTTCCGGTGTGAGCGTTGGGGATTGGGGCCAGTGGGGGTCCAAAAGGCCGTGGCGAATTCAAAAAAAGCCGGCAGTCCAAAACGGGTTGCCCGATCGGTTTTCGTGGAAACATGGGAACCACAACCCGCGGCTTGCCCCTCCTCTTTAATTTGGAGCCATAGCCAAATGATAGGTCAACCATGGGTTTACAAGACCCCTTTACTTGGGGATGAGCATCAATCATCTATTCGGGGGGGAAAAGACCCTGCTTCCTATGCGGGGGGGTTTGTTACCCCAGGGAACACATGTTGGAAGTACTGGACTAGGCACTAGGCAGTTCTGCTCAAGGGTTTGCTACCGCGAGTGTCCAAGGATTCTTCAGCGCCAAAAAGCAGTTTTTGGTATCCATAATGTAATATTATATAGCATCGTCATCACACATCTTGGTAAACATTGTGCGTAGGCAAGTAGCATTTCTGGTCTTGTATTTCCTCTTTGCGTGACTTAACCATCACTTCTCAGGCTCATTTGTTTCGCTTTCCTCTAGTTCGTATGATGTTTGCGAGCAAGGCTTCGGCTTTCCTTTTAGCGTTCTTTAACCCACCCCCGCGAAGCGCAAAGGGCGGCAAATTCAAAAACGGCGCAGCCATGCGCCAAGGGGCCGATGCGAATTCGAGGTATTTGATCACGAGGCTGCGGAGCTGGACAAGGCGCCCTGGGGTAGACGTGGGATGCATTTTACATTTGGCTGTGGCTCAAAAAGCCGGAATTTCAGAATGGCTTGCCCTGGTAGGTGGAAACATGGACCAATACCTGCGCTCCTGTTTAATTTTAAGACACATCCATTTTGCCAGCGACGGAAAGTGAAGCAAACAATAGAATCTGTATATATATATATATTCTATAACTGGGCCGAACTCTAATCATAAGCCTTGAGTCTCGCCACTTCGCGGCTGTTGCAGGGTTCGAAGGGGGCCCGAAGCGAAGCGTTTCACTTGGGACCCCCGAAAAGGAGGCGGGAGGGGGGGGAAGGGTTGAGCTCTGACTTCAAGGGTTTACCCTGCGGTTCAAAACACCATGAACAGGAGCTTGATCTAACCGCCAGGATT